GTGAATTGTGGTGTGAATTGTGGTGTAAGTTGTGGATTAATTTGTTGTTGTGGTAAGAGTGCTGGTTGATTTACCTGTACAAAGACCTGAGCAGATTGAGGTTGTGGTAGCTGTTGTTCAACTATGATTTGAGGATGTGGTTGAGGTTGTGGTTGTGGCAAAGGTGCTGGTAGAGGAACACCATAACCAGGACTGAGATTGCCTGGACCGCTGCTAGCAATTTCATTTGCTGCCGGTGGTATATAAGTTTGTGGTTGCTCAGCTGGCTTGACACCGAACTGGTCTAAGTGCTGTACTGTTGCGCCAATCGATTCGAGTAGACCTTGTGGAACTGGTGGACGGAAGGCAACGGGCTTACTAGGTGGTGCGCCACCATGAGCGGGGAATGTATGTACGCTACCTGATTGCTGACCGTAGTGTATACCGGCTGATTGTGCTGCGCCATGGTGATGATGAACGAATGCAGCTGGAGAAGATGGCGGTGGTGGTCCATAATTGCCACTTGGAGGAGCTACGCCAATGCTAGCATGTGCAGTGCTAAATGAGTTGAATTTTTGTGCATGTACGGAGCCAGGTGCAAATGAATCAAGTGGTGGTTTTGAATAACTATCACCAATATCACTAACTGCGATCTAGTAACAAAAAAAATAATGCAATTCCAGTTGCGGAGGGTTCATGCAAATAATGCTTACCTGTAATCCTTCAGATTCGAGTGAGTTTGTGTTTATATGGGCGGGACCAGTAGCCGGTAATGTATGTCCATCTAGACCATCTGATTGTAGTGCAACAGCGACTAATTGTTCATCAGTTAAACCATCAATTATGCTACCACCGGAATGTCCACCATTGTATTGTGTACCAAAACTACCAGCACCTGTAGCACCTATGCCCTGTGCTACTTGGCTATAACCACCTTGTGTTTCGATATTGTTATGTTCAACATAAGCGCCAACAGGTGCAGGTATTGGTTTCCAGCCATCACAAGCGGTATGGAAAGGTGCTTGTGAGCCGCTAACGCTGTGCGTATGACCAGATGCATCAATTTGTATTTGTACTTGCTTGGAAGGTCCATTGTGGTGATTGCCATGTCCATTGGTAAGTATGATTGTGGTTTCAGGTACACGATTAAAGGATGGTGGATGGGAACCAGGTAGGCTTTGTGGTAATGGTGGTGGACCATAGTTAGGGGCAGGTGGCCCATACACTTGTTTTGGTGGTAAGTTTAGAGGACCTGATGGTGGTGGACCATAGGAAGAGGCTGGATGATGAGCTGGATTAAAAATAGGGGCAGGATGGGATGATGGTAATTGCGGTGGTGGACCGTAAACAGGTTTTGGTTGTGGTGGGAGTTGTGGTGGTGGTCCATAGTTTGGGGCAGGTCTATGCTGTTGAGGTGGTGGACCATATACTGGTGCAGGTTTTGGTGGTGGTCCATATTGTGGTTGTGGTACTGGTGGTGGGCCGTAAGCACCAGCTGGCTTATGTTGTATATGTGGTGGACCATAGAATGGCTTTGGTACACCAAAATGTGACTTAATTTGCTCATGCAGACCACCACCGAAATTGTTACCACCACCACCGCCACCGCCTATGAAATTTAATTTTGGCGGTCCGTATTTGATAGCTGGTGGGCCATATTCACGGAATGGAATTTTTTGTGGTACACCATATTCACGATGTGGTATATGTGCGGGTGGTGGGCCGTACTGTGGTGCAGGACGGGGTGGTGGCCCATATGAGTCGAAAGCTTCACGACGCTTAAATTCTTTATTAAGTACTGCTTGTGTCACTGATGCCAGCGCCACAATTATCAACACGGTACGTAATATCATCTGCAAGAACAAGAAAAAAACCAGAAATTAGGTGAAGTTTTTTACAAGTGAATGTGTGGATGTATTTGATACGTGCTTATTGCTATATTAGTTTCTACACCTGAGTACTAAGCGGTTTTCTTTATTGCTTTGTAATAAACAGACGACTTCTTTTCTTCCTATTGATACCTTAAGGTAAAATTTGGGGCGTAGAATAGCTTGATAGCTGTAGTACTATTGGTGGTATCAGCTGAGGACTAGCAGTCCAACACTGACAGTCATGAGACGGGGCGTATGTGAAGAATTTTTACTGTTTTACTCGTATGTTAGATACAGCATTATTAGCATTCAAAGTGCGCGCGTTTGAAGCGCTGAATTGGGTGCTTAAGAGATGTTGTGTTGGGAAAATACTTTTTCTGCGCTACTATTGGCGTCAATTGAAGAGAATTTAATTCCATTCAAGTATTTTATTAAATTTTTAGTCTAGTAAAGGACAGGAAATAATATTGAATTTGTTTTGTGCTCAAAAAATAGGAGTATTTTTTATTGGTTCTAATAAGAAGAAATTTAATAATTATTTATCTGAAGATTTCAATAAAATATTTGCTATAAAAGATTTTATTTGACTATAAAAGTTGTACAAATTATTCAGCTTATTAATTAGTTTTTCTATATTAATTTCAATATTTAATTTTCCATTATTTTCTTACATAAAAAGTGTGTAAATGAAAAAGATATTGTATCGATTTGTAAAGACGTCTGCTTTATTGCGATTTTAATGGAATTTTCTATTATATTTGACACTTTTGCTTACGTCTTGAGAGATTGGTTCGCACCATATGTCAATTATTTTGACTGAAAATGAGTTGGCAGCAGTTGCTACTGATGGCTTCACAGCACAATGGCTAGCATTGCGAGGCTGTGGGTACCTCGGCCATTGTCAAGTTAATGAAAAGTGAGAGTTCGTTAATTATATCTTTTGGATGGTTATTAAAATAAAATTTGCCTTAAAGAATAGGCATAAAATTATGTAATATCGCCGAGTGTACTGACCGTAAATGTTGTTTACTTTGCTTTTCTTTTTACCATCACAATAATGTGAATGCGAATGTAATAATAATATGGCCCGTATGTATCAGCATTTCTTTTATTACATGAACGCAATTATTTTTATATTTGTTGTATAATAAACTTCACGAGGGTGAAGGGAATACAAAAGTTTTTAGTTACGAATTAAGTTAACAATAATAAAAGTTGAAAAACTATATATGGAAGTACTTCCAGGCATTTATTTTTATTAAGAAAATTGTTAAATTTGTTAATATAGAAGTAAGTGCACTTATTTAAGATAAGAATATTTGAATTAAATCTTGAGTTATATATATACGCTTTATCGGAAAAAAACCAAGATTTAATATAATCTTAATCTGACATTAAAACTTAATTACTGAATGGTTCCACTAGTTTATATTATAAGTATGTTTATATTAATATATATATTGCAACTATAACTAAAAGAGAATTCTTTAACTTGAATAGTTTGAACAATAACTCAACTTGGGAATATTAATTAAAACTGAAACTGGTCCCACTATAGATAGTTCATATTTTGAATATTTTAGTATGAGTATATATATTACATCTATAAATAAAAATAAATTCTTGATTTTGAATATTTTGTATAGAATATATTCAACTTGTGAATATCTGTAAATATTTTATATATTATACATTTTTCTGAGCAAAATAGGCTGGAGTGGATTATCACTTATTCAATCGCTCCATCCCTTATACTCATCGCTCTAACCCTTATACTCATCGCTCTAACTCTTATACTCATCGCTTCTATTCTTCAATCTTATATATATGTTGAGGCTAGTTGAGTTGAGTCAGTGCACCTGAGCACTTTTACTCTCTATTAACTGTGAGGTTTCTACAAAACCCCTCTTTGCGCCTTGACTGGATTATTGTTTATCACTTCATTAGAGTAAGCAATAATTGACCTCAGATCTGCATATCTCCCCGAGGAGCCTGTAACCATTCTGAGATTTGATAACGCGGTGTTAGTAAGTCTGTCAGATTTCGCAAATAATTTCAATCTTATATTCCTACTAGTCTTTATCACTGTATATCGCATTAAATTAACTCAATTTTTGGTTATCCTCTCGTTCGTTGATTGGTATTCTAATAAAATCTTATCTAACGATCTCATCAATAAGTATTTTACTAAGTGTATATAGCGTTTACACTTTTATAACGTGATTAACTGCCATTTAGGTTTGTAACGATAAACGCTTCTATTGGAAATTCCAAAAACCTTCTTCCGTACCAATTGAAGCTATACCTATATAGGATCATGTGTCTATATGCAGCCAACATATATATACAACACAACAACGAAACTAGGTTTTAGATGATATAGAAAAATGCATTATCTATCATATCTTTCAGGGTTGCCATCACTAAGGCTAAATATTTTTATTATTTTTTGTTATATTTTGAAATAATATAAGAAATTTAAATTAAGATATATGAATATACAATATTTACTATTCAGCCAGACATATATGTAAATAGTATTTAATACCAATAATTATTATATGCTTATAAATATTTAATAATTTTTTAATAAATGTTTGAATTTGGAATATTTGAGATCTTTTACTTTCACTGATTGACATTGCCATTCATACATGCAATTATTAAAAATTTAATTAATTTTCTATGCAAAATATTTCTGGTGTAAAATTTAATTACTGGCACCAGCACTGTACTGTTTTGTAGTGTTAAACGCTTGCAGAGCCCCTACAAGGCACACTCTCGATGCATTAATAAAAAGTGACGCCAAAACGGTCATTGACTTTACCACTCACGCATACACACATACACGCACACTTGTTTACAAGCAATAAAAATTAGATAATAGCCGGCAGCAGTGGTTTGTTTATTATTTAAAAGGCGACTCTTACATGTTTTGCTCTTTGCACGGAATTGTTGTTGTTTTTATATTTGCATGAATTTTATTTGCACGTATTTTACTTACTATTGCGGGTGGAAAATGTAAAATGTAAACTCTACTCAACTTCACATTTTACGCACAAATTACATAAAATATTAAAGAAAAATTTATATAGTATGAGTATTGTATTATATATAAAAAAATAAAAAAAAAATATATTGTGAAAATTAAATTGTAGGATTTTCTTCGTGTAAAAGTAAAACGCTGAAGTTCAATTCATATAAAATTTCGTATTTCATATTTTTTTTCTTGCAAACTAACTTTTTTTTTTGGAACCATTTTTTTTTGACCAAAAAAATTTTTTTTTTTTTTTTACTTTCATTTGTTGCTGCTTTTATGATTGGTAATTGCGTACTTGTTGTTGTTTTTGTATTGTGTGTTACGTTGTTGTACTGCAGTTAAATGACTAACAATGACACTGAGTGATACTGGTTGTTGTGTTCAATGTTCGAATGTTGGCGCCTGTGGGATGTAATTGTTGTTGTAATTGTGCTATATTTGTTGTTGTTAGTGTTGGTGTTGCTGTTAGTGACGTGCTGCGGTAATGGCGACTTTTGTATGAATTGTTTTCCTGGTTATATATTCATTTATAAATTTTCTACTTTTTTTTGTGGTTTTTTGGTAAATTTTGTTTGTTGCGTGTTTTACTATAAAATTAAATTTATTTTTTTTTCTTGGAATTTTTTAACATAAAATGTAACTATGATTTTTTTTCTACTTATTTTGCAGCATTTCAGAAATTTATGATGACTACTGACTCTATTACTCTCTTCAACATTTAACAGTTATTTTTTGTTTTGGTTTTATTATTTTATTTTATTTGTAGATAAAATAAATGTGGACCTTTCACACACAATTTTTTACGCTCTTTTGCTTTTAATTGTGTTTTACTTTTGTGTTTAAAGTGCGCATAAAAATAATTTTAATTTTTAATTGTTGGCAATTTTATTTTTGTTGTTGTTTTTTTTTGTTTTCATTTGTTTAAGTTCTCATTTTTTTTGTGAGTCAATTTTCGTTAGCCTCTTTGTTGCACCGCTCATACACATTGTTTTGACATGTTCACTTGACTTTATCTGTGCTTCATATTCGCCTAACTCATCCAATTGAAATGTGCGGGTGTGCGGGTGCTTACGGGTTTGCGCCTGCAATGTTGTCTTCTTCTTCTTCTCCCGCTCAATTGTGTTGCAGAAATATGGGTGGCGGCTTCACTCAATTCAATTTTATTATAATTTTTTGCATCATTTAAGCTGAGTGAAAGTGTTTTTTTGGCTTAATTGCTTATACAGCTTTTTTCGCTGTTATCCAGGGCTACGATAAAAGTAGGGCCTGTAAAAAAAGTTGACTTCAAATTGTGCACTTTGGCTCATAAATCTAAAATGCTGTAATGGCACAGTTTGTGCTATGAATTAATTTGCATTTTATTACGATTATGCAGCACGCATATTTTATTTGAGAGTATTGTGGAGAACACTTAATTCAATAAAAATTATGGTTATGTAGAAATAAGTAGAGCCATGTTATTGAATATGTTCTCAAAGTAAGCCAAATGACTTATTGAAATTGTGAACACTACTTTCAAAGGATTTTCTAAGGTCTGTCACACTGTATTTGACAAGCTAATCATCCGATATGACCTTCAAAAGAAGTCGCCAAATAGGTATTGCTTTCAGGGTAATATTATTTTACATTCTCTATGAGTATCTAACAATCCGTAAGAAATGTATATGTTTTTATAACCTTTAAGAAAGTATGACGAATAGGTGTTGCTTTTATGGAATAATCGTCAAACTATATTTCACATTCTTTTCGGGTGTCCAGCAATCGGTAAGAATTATATATGACTCTCTGACCTTCAAAAAAATTAATTAAATAGATGCTGTTTATATGAAATGACCGAAAAATTTTATTTCACATTTTTTTCGAGTGTGGAGCAATCGGTAACAATTACATCTTCTTCTTTAACTTTCAAAAAAGTTAATCAAATAAGGGGGGCTTTTATGGGATGACCTTAAAACTTTATTTCCCGTTCTCTGTGATTGTCCAGCAACCGTTAAGAAATGTAATTGATTTCTTGACCTTTCAAAGAAGCTCGCCAATCAGATCTTACTTTTACGGAATTATCATTGAATTTCATTTAATATTATTAGCAAGTGTCTAGTAATCGGTAAGAAATATATCTGACACTTTGAAATAATTGATCAGGTACCGGGGATATTAAATTTGATAGCTATTTTTGATTCATCACTTATGAAACGAAATATTTAATGAAGAAGCACTTAATAACTTTTATTGTACTATTTACTATGAAAACCAAAAGTTCATTGTATCTAAATTTGGAATATATTTTAAATTACTGCACAAGATTACATACGTCCATTTATTTCCCATTGAATTTGCACATGGGTCATAAAGATATTTCATTTATTGTAATAAATAATAAAATAAGCTAAAGTATTAGGTAACATTATGAAAAACAATAAAACTGAACAAAAATAATGTCAAGCAGCTCCTAAGCCATTAAATACGATCAAATGTGCTAGTTTATAGCGTCAAAAAAAGCCAGCAAAAATATTATTGAATAATTTAACGATTGTAAAAATAACCAAAAGTGCTAGCTCACAGCACCACAAACTGTGAGAGCAATCAAAAGCCATAGCTAACAGCATTACAACTGGTAAAAGGTGTAAATATGTTCTTGTAATATCAAAAAATAACAACAAAATTAATTAAATCAACTTCTGTATAGACAATTCTGGTGTTAATGTTTAAAGATTTGCGATACACCAAAAAATAAATATACAAAAAAAAAAATTATGAAAAAATAATACATCACACAAGATTTTTGCATCTTTATTGGTTGATATAAATAATTGCAATTTTAATTTATTGATTATCTTTAATTTATTGATAAATGCGACA